TTTGCTGATGTCCCTACTGGAGTGATGTGATAGTTTCTTATATATTTAGTCTGTGTTCAGAAAAAAAAAAAAAAAAAAACTTTTGTGTGTGTATTCACTAGTTTTACTTTTTATGTATGTTTTCTTCAAACAATTTCTGTACAATTTTCATAACTATTTCAATCAATGTGTTGATAAATATAATTTGTTTTTGAGGAAGGCATGAATATAATCAAAATATATTGTATGAAGTTTTCTAAGAACTACTAAGAAAGAAAGAAAATGTCCCTCAAGTTTGCCCTAATACAAAGGACGGCACAATCCATGAGAAAGTATACGGATGAGGGACTTAGAGGTCCCATACAGAAGCTATGATAATCAGAAAATGCTCTGCATTTGAATTGTCTGAATTGGTAAAGACTTAAATAGGAAAAGAAAGTCTCTCACAGCCTTGGGACATGTGGGCAAACTGGACCAATCTAGGTGCTATGGACGCAGAAAAATTGAATCTATGATTAACATACCATCTTTGTAATGAAACATTTTCCGAAAGGATGCCTTGTTATGGAGTGGTGTTAGTTGTCGGGCTTAAAATACTGTCGCCTTCTCAGTCCCTGTAAAGGTGGATGAAACAGGCTATTGTGTAAGAGTTCAAATGTTTTTCTTCCCTCTGTGAAACGCTGCTAGCCTATAACTCCAGTTTCCATACGCATTGACTGACTGTACTCTCTTGTTGGCATGTTTATCTTTTCTTGAGTGAAAATGAGTAGAATGAAAAAAAAAAAAATGTTTGAGAAAGTCTTGGCTCTGAACCAAACCGTCTCATCCCAAATTGCTCTAGAAGGGCGTTAGGCTGTCCCTGTTGCCGTGTGTCCTTGGCTAGCCTTCCTCTTCTCGGAGCGCAGGGACTGTCTCTGTGGGACTCGAACCTTGTGATTCACTTAACCTGGTGAGTTCACTTCCAAAGTGGGAGGCGTGCAGTGTGTGGAAATGCAGCAGGTGGCCGTTCGGCCACGTCAGAGGCAAATTCTGCTTCAGTGCAGTTGTATCCAAGGTCAGCGGGTCCTCACCAAGGGAAGACTGGGCACAGAGCGACGGTGGCCGGAACGCTTGCTCTGGTTCCAGCCAGCCAGGGGGGCACCCGTTGTTCCGCCACAGAGGGCTCCGTGTGTGAGTCTAGCGCCCCGACGGGATTTTCCTCACCACAGCGGTGAAACGCTCGTCAGGAGCTCGGGGAGCGCGGATTGTGCAACCGCACCGTGTGAAGCTGACCCCCTGGAATCATCCTGGGGGAGCAGCTGAGGCGGCCAGTACGAGTTGTCCGATGGGGACCGCGGGCAGGCGAAGCGGAAGAGCGTCACTCGCCATCTTTCTTCCTGGTGCCTCCAGAGCGGCGGCCCGGTCGTGTCAGTTTATGGAGCCGCCAGCGGTTCAGCCTCGGGGTGTTTGTAGGACCTCCACACCTAGTAAAAGAGTCAGGTGGCAGCAGTCCAGGGGTTCAGGCGTAAACAGTGGCGATCCGGTGCAACCAGTTTGATCAGGAGCGCGGGAGAACGGAGCGGAAGTTCCTCATCCGCCCTCTTTCTTCCTGGCAGCTCTCCTTCTTTGCAAGGCTGGCCAGTCAACCGAGGGAGTCCCGGGTCGCTGGAGCACAGCGGCTCCACGAGCCCTGAACCTAGGAGCTGCGAGCGTGAGGCCGCAGGAGGCCCCGAGCGAGCGCAGCCATGGTGAGCGCCGGGGGTGCGGGGCGAGCTGGGCTGTTGGACGGGACGGGCTGGGTAGCGGGGCCCCGGCGCCCCGGACTCCCCGAATACGCGGTGGCCGAGGGTCGGGGGCCCGAGCCCTGCGGGCCGATGCGCGATCGCTTTGTTTTTCCTGTCATTCCGTTCCTAAAACCCACGATTTTGTACCCCAGGCAAATGCTTTTTTTTCGGATTGACAGCTGAAATCCCTCAATTCTCAGGTCCTCCCCGACATTGCCAAGTTTACCGCCCCGGGCCATCCACCGGGCCCCGTGGAGAAACACGGAGCGGAGAAGTGTGGCCGTCAGTGATGCCATTAGACTGTTGGTCGGGGTTGATTCGATTTTTTAATGCTAATTAAGGTGAAATTAATTAAGTTAAATTTTCTCACATGAAAAGACTTACAAATAGAGAGAAGGCCCCGGATGTAAGGTGTGCAAGCGTATCAGGAGGTATTAAGGTGCTGACTTAAAAGAGCGTGCTTAGTAGTGTTTTGTCGTTTCTGGTCAGCCAATCATTTTGAGGCAACAAGTGAACAATTTATGAATTGATTTTTCTCTAGGGTCTAGTTTCTCTAGAGGTCTAGTTCCAGACATCTCCATGTAGAAATCCAGTGTTACCATCATCGTTTATCAGTTATTCCGTCCTTCCTGTGGAGTATCTTTTTGGCACCTTTGTTGAGAATCAACTGGCCAAACGTGTGGGTTTATTCCTGTGTCCTCTTTTCTCTTCCATTGGACTGCACATCTATATTGTAACAGTATTCTGTCGGATTTTGTTCTGTTGTATGTGTTTTGAAATCAGGTCATGTGAAGCATGCAGCATTTCTCTCTCTCTCTCTCTCTCTCTCTCTCTCTCTCTCTTTCTTTTTTTCCTTTGAGTCATTTTAGTGATATTGATTCTCCTATCCATGATCATGGTAGGTCTTTCTTCCTCTAATGTCTTGCTTAATTTTCTTAATTTTTTTTTGCCTTTTTTATTGAAAAAAATTTTCATGCAATATATTCTGGTCACACTTTTCCTCTCCCCCAGCTCCTCCCCAAACCTCCCCACCACCCTACCCACCTACCTTCACACCCTTTCTTTCTATTTCTTTCTTCAATGACCTAACACTGTCTTTGTTAAAGATTTTCACATAATCGGTGAGGTTTTCTTGGACATTATAGTTTATGTGTACATATATCATGACTTCCTGACAATCTGAACTATCTCTGTGAGATAGTTCATTATTCACTGGGAGAAAGTGTACTGGACATTGCCTATTGATTTTGTACCCCCCTGCCTATCTAAATAGTTTATAATCTATTAAAGCCTTTTTAGTATAATCTTTTGATCTGTCCTTGGTTTTCTTGAATGTGTTGCTGTGTACCCCAGCTGGCCTGAAACTCTTTTCTTGTTTTGTTTTGTTTCATTTTTTTTTTTCAAGACATGTTATCTCTGTATAGCTGTTGGAGCCTATTCTGGAACTTACTCTGTAGACCGGGCTGGCCTCGAACTCAGAGATCCGCCGGCACCTGCCTCCCATGTGTTGGGATTAAGGGCGTGCCACCACTGCCTGGTGGCCTGTAACTCTTAAATCTTGCTGTCTTAGCCTCCCTTGTACTGTGATTCCTGGTGTACCTGGTACTATAGTACCTAGTTATGGTTCTCTATTGAAACAAGTACCGTTTGACCTCCTTCTTTGTGATTCATATACTTATTATTGCTTTTGTTTGCATATTTGTTCTGGCTAATAGTTTAGTACTATACTCAAAAAGAGTCGTGGGTAGTCACCGAGATTTTTTTCTGATCTTTGAGAAAATGCTTTCAGTGTTTTCCCTCATTTAGCATGTTATTACTAGTTATGTGTTTGTCATGAAAGCCTTTATTATCTTAATCTATGATCCTCCTGTGCCTACCTACTAGATTCTGAGCTTTGATCATGACATGGATGGAATATTATTAAAGGCTCTCTTGCTTGCATCTAATGTCAATTATTAGATTTTTAATTCTTTTTTTTTTTTTTTTGGTTTTCGAGACAGGGTTTCTCTGTGTAACAGTTCTGGCTGTTCTGGAACTCGTTCTGTAGACCAGGCTAGCCTCAAACTCACCAAGATCCACCTGCCTCTACCTCCCAAGTACTGGGATTAAAGGCATGCACCACCACTGCTCGGTGCAGATTTTTAATTCTTGATTTTTTTTTTTTTTTTTTTTTTGGTTTTTCGAGA